TTACAAATGAATTAAAACATGTCAACAACAGACGACTTGTCCATCCAGCCAGAGTCTGACCCAGAGCCAGAGGAGAATGAATAAATCGTAATTTGTAAATTAAAACCTTTTTTGGCAGTTCTTTTGCAAAGACTGAAGTAATAGTTCAGAAAATGTCATATAAAATAGAGAAAACTGAAACATAGTTGAAAAACTGAATTCCAGGTCATTTAACTGAGTTGAAAAATATGACCCAAACAGATTATAAAGATAAGTTTAATTTCTCTAGATTCTTAGAGACTCCAAGTACACAAGAAAATGTATTTAATGGTTAAAAAGTAGATTTTACATAATACGCCCCTTTTAAATACTTTATTAATGTGATTTATTTCATTAAACAGTCAAATTGACACTACATTCAGTTGTCCCATAAATGAGAATACGGTGAGATATTTTCTTTTTTATTTTTATTAAATTTTTTGGTGGTAACTTTAATATTCAAATTTCAGTTATAATTACTACATAAAATAGATTTTTTTTTTCTTTTAGTGCAACAAATAAGAACAAGTCCAGACTGTTAGTGGTAACATGAATGTATTGTATTTGGTCAAACATTTTACTGTACATATTTGTTTGACATAAAACACAAAAGTGAAATAATGGAGTGAGAGAATAAATGTATGTACTATATACATCTCTTTCTTATTACCCCCACCCCCACACACACACACACACACACTCACCTACACAATTTTTAACTGTGAGAAAACTCTTACTGTGTTTTCTCCAAAAAGCTTTCAGTTTATTAGGTTTCAGTTTCTGACCGTCGTCCATCATAAATTTAGACCAACACTCAAAAGGATTTGTTTGTAATGCACTATGCATTTACATCATTCATTAGACAGAGCAAATTACTTTACAGCTGCTTACTATAGGAAAAATGTGAACGGCGTGTCTCACAGTCATTGTCACATCACCTGCCTGGGAGTGGTTGCACAGATGACTGGAGTGCATGATGGCATTATTACACCCAAGCTCTGAAATAACAAGCTGGATGTCATAAGCAGCAATAGGCTGCAAATTCACAACTGAACAACTTCTCAGTCTGTAATAAAAGTAGCTTGTGATTCACAGTGCAGTATTAAAGTTAGGTATTTTAACAACTGCAAGAAACAAAACACTCAGCAATCGGAAAGTTGAATTATGTCATTTGAATACTTTGCTTTTGAATATTATAGATGTTTGTCATACTCCTGTGAACAGAGATACATAGTTTATAGAAACCCAGGACTTTGTTTAAATGGCCGTCTCCTAAAACCTGTAGTGTCTGAAGTTAGTGTGAGAAACCATCATCAGTAGTTACAGAACTGTTGCTCCGGGCTCAGACCACAATGGTAAGCACTCCTCAGCACAGTGTGGTGACATCACAGTGCAAAGTAAGGGAAACAGGCATGCTAGCACACACACGCCCTCATGTCAGCGCTTGCAGAAACACCACAGGAAAATTACACTGATCTTATGTTATCACAGGCATTAGGTTGTTTCTGAAACTTACAGTTCCACTTTCCACATTTTTAGTACAGCAGATAAAAATAAAAAAAACAGGAAAAAAGTTTCATCTTTGATCATTAAAGTCCAAGTTTCAGTTTTATGATCGCCGTTTGTCTTGCTTTTATGAATACTAAGTTCACACCTAGTTTAAAAATATTTTAGTAGAATTTACAGTAGACAGAATGGCTGAGAACATGGTTTATACATTTACTTGAGACTAAGAGCATAATGGCCCAGCTCTGAGTTAAGTCAGATACTTTATGTCTTGCTTTGAAACGTAACCTCCAGAGTAATTCTTAGATGTTAGATATCATCCAATTCAATCTAAACAAGAAAGTCTGAGCTTGCAACAGTCAAAAAGGATGTCAAAAAGTGTTAAAAAGTGTTACACAGCAGTCAATTTTGACCTCACACAATTATTTAAATGAGCTAATTTACTGATATTAACATGATGATATCTGTTTTCTCTTTAGATGAGGAATATCACAGAAACTTTAATGACACCTCTGGAGAAGTTCAGGAAAGATCAGCTCGGTGCAGTAAAGGTAATGCATAATGGTTCTTTTCCTTTTCTCTCAGTTTGTTTTGTTGGACTTAATGGATCTACTGGGATGCATGATGTACCTTAATGATTAAAAGTGCCTATTTTGTTATTTCATGCTTGTAGCAAATGAATTGTTATGCACACAAGGTATAGAATTTTATTTTATTTTATTTTTTTTACTCACATTCCCTAAACTAACACATTGTTTCCCCCTTTCTTTTAAGGCGGTAAGAAAAAAGTACGAAAAAGAAACCGAAAAATATTACAGCTCTCTGGAAAAACTTTTGAACATGTCAGCAAAGAAGAAAGAGCCACAACTACAAGAGGTATTTACCCTTGCCTCAAGTCTCTGACCACCTAATCATTATGACAAAAAAGCAAAATTAAACAGACATATCTGCTGAAATGGTTTATTTTGCTTGGTGCTATAAGGAAGTCGCCTGTTGTCACCATCTGGTGAAAAGTGTGTGCCAACAAGCAGTGGTTTTCATCACTTGCCTGCAAAGGAAATGCTTTTTTTCTTTCTTTTTCTACTGTACCACTAAGGACAGCCATGGTTTTCTTTAGTGTCTAGAACAATAGTTGCACAACAATAGCTTCACAGACTTGAAACCACAGTTTCAAATGTTGAAGTCTTCAGCAGCCTCTTATGTAACAAAGCTTCTGTGCTCTTGTGTTGATGCCATGTGGTTGTGAATGCCCAAAGAAGACACTTGAGTCTGTGAACATTATTTCCACAGTATGTTATGTTCTCTCTGACTCTTATGACAGCAGATTCGGTGGTGCCAACACTGATTTTTAACACACGTGTGTAAATAGTCGAAGTGATTCGTTCACAGCCGTGAGAGTCATGAACTGGATCAACCATCCAATCCGTTTTTTTGTCAGCTCTCTGATTAATGAATGGGAATTTTAAGAATGCTTGTTTAACGTGAAATCAAGTTGGGCAGCCCTTGATTTTTAGTGAACAAGATTTGCCCAATTTTACTGTTTTACGAATGCAATCCTCATTCTTGCCAGTTTGATATTTTTATTTAGAAATGGCAATTTTCTTTTGGAAGAAGTGAAAGTCTTGTATAGTTCCTAAACAGATGCTGTCATACTCAATTGCTAAATCAGTTTGCATGCTTGTGCTTTTTGTTTTTGCAAAGCCAATGAATAGATGGATGTAGTGCTGGACGATATGGCTGAAAAATGTATCATAATATAAGTATTTCATATCACACTATTGATAATTATTGATTAGTTTTTTTGTTTTGCTTTGTTTTACCTATTTGAAATAAGGACAAGGAGAATAAATGCTTATTAAGACTGCCAAACTGGTGACTTGGCCTTTCCAGTTTTATCCAAAAATTTCTCTCAAGCTGTAGCACTCATTTACTTCTTTCATTCCATGTCATTTAAAAAAAATAAAATGTATTTTCAAGCGGTAATGAGGCATGGTGGTGAATGATGAATGTTACTCAACACACTGTTGCTAGCTTACCAAAGGACCAGCTTACCATGGGACATTGAGTGGCTAAAGCCTTTCCTATGCCTACATCCCCCAGAATGCCATGCGATTCTGGTTAGCATTATACAGTATATACAGTATATAGGTAGTCTCTCTCACTATATCAGTCATTTGAATACTAAACTTAAAGGATTGGTGTTTGGTATTGTTTTACACTGCTGTTGTTTTAGTATTAACAAAGTTCAAGAAAAATTTAAATAATTCTTAGGTGCATACACAGAAAAATAATGAAAATGGCTTTACTGAGATGGCTACAGTATGTTGTCAAAAATCTATAAAATACAAATGAAGGTTAAACATTTTTAAAACAAGCTGAAAAGGCACTTTCCTTTACAAGAGCACATTTCTTATCTTCTGAGTACTCTGAATTCCTTTATTTTTTTCTTTTTAATAAAGTTCACTTTGACATTGACTGGTTCTGCCTTTCCTGTCCTTGAAGAGAGAGACTCCTCTTCTAAGTGCTTCTCTTGGTTTTCTTCTTTTTTCCTGTTAGGTGGGGGTTGTGTGGCTTTCCTTTGTCTAAATGAGGAGTGAAATGATGGAGGGTTTTGTATATTATATTTGTCATGAAGGCATCGGAGACACGCTTGTTACGTAGGAATATTGTTATTATCTTAAATGGTTTATAGAAGTTGATCTGTCAACTGTAGATGTCTTTTTTATAATAATTTAATGGCATAGCAGTTTCCCAAACTATAGTGTTGAAAGCGTTTCTTCCTTGGTTCCCCACGTCTGTCTGTGGCTATAATTATCCTGGTGTGTGTTCCCCACCTCTTCCAGGCAGACGTCCAGGTGAATGCTGTGAGACAACACTTTCAGGAGTCGTCACTTGAATATGTGTGCAAATTACAGGAGATCCAAGAGAGAAAGAAGTTTGAGTGCGTGGAACCGGTGAGTCGCTGTGCTGAGCACAGATGTAAGCTTTGCTTTCACATTAAAAACATGAAATCAAAGTTTGTTACAGTGTTAGTCTGCTCACATGTTCATGACAAATTAAACTAAATCACATTGCAGTTTTTTTTTTAAATAGGTTTTAGTAGTCATTTTATAGGGCGTATGATTAGATTGAAACTAGTTGGTAAATAATCTTTAAGAAGTAGAAATGGATAAATTTGTAAACATGAGCTGTAGCTTTAAAAGTTACAGACTTCGTTTAGTTCAGTGAGTCAGCCTCACACAAACTGGACATAAAAAGGACTTTAAATATTATTACTGGTTTGCTAAAACACCATGTTTTAGAAAAAAAAAACTACCTGGTCTGACATAATACATCTGATACTGTGAATATAGTAAAAATTAAGGTTTGTTTTAATGGAAAAACAAAGATAAAGTGTCTAAAGGAATGCAGATTAATTACAGCTTGGCATTACTGGTGATCTTTGATGATTTGGTCCTTCTGTTACAATACAGGACTGTAACCTTGTTAGAAATTTTGTTTTTCCTACTACAACCTCACACTTTTATCTCTTTGATTTCTTGTAGATGCTGGCCTTCTTTCAGACTGTATTCACTTTTTACCACCAGGGTTACGAGCACGCCAAGGACTTTGATCATTATAAAAGAGCACTTGCGATCAATATTCAGAATGTAAGAAATATTAATGTTTTCTCATCATATTTTTATCAAAATAATTAATGGAACTAATGTTTGCATTTATTTTATTTATTTATCATAGACATATGTCACTATGACAAAGCTACAGAGAATAGCATGCATTGATGTTCTTTTTGTCTTACAGATTTTTCAGAATTAGTTAATATGTTGAATAGTTTGTGTTAAAAAGAAATCACTTGTAACATTTTGTTTAGGAAGCCATATTTTTTAGTAGATCAGTAAGGCACTTCCTGGAGTTTGTGTTTGCTCCTCTCACTCAGACAAGGAATCGATTTGAAGGCACGAGGTCCGAGGTGTACGAGCTCATGAAGAGGATCAAAGAGGCACCCCAAGAATACAGACAGACCAGCCCAATCAGTTTTGAAGGCTACCTTTATGTACAAGAAAAACGTGAGGCTTAGATACAGTTTGAACATGGTGTGTGTGTGTGTGTTTGTGTGGGCTGGCATTCCCTACTTGTGGGGACCAACTGGTACTTATGGGAACCTAAACCTAGTCCCCATGAGGGGAAATGCCTTTGGTGGGTCAGGGGTTAGGTTTAGGACCAAGGTGTGAATTGAGTTTAGGTTAGGTTTTGGGGTCGGGGTTAGACTGTAGAAAAGAATGGAAGTCAATGCAATGTCCCCATAAAGATAGCTGTAGATAGCTCTGTGTGTGAATGTTCTCCAAAGTAGCAATTTAAAACAAGAACTTGTGCAAAGATGTATAAAAATATTGTAATCAGTATTTTTACATCACAAAATTGCTATTACTTAAAGTATACTCACATGAGACTACAATGACAGTTTTTGATGCAATTTTCACAACTGCGCTAATGAACTTTGATTATCAACATGGACTGTGTTAGACGTGTGTTTTGTGTTGTATGTGAAGGACCTCCTCCTTTTGGCTCAAGTTGGGTGAAGCGCTACTGTACGTTTGTCAAAGAGCAGAAGATCCTGCACATGGTGACTTTTGACCACAGATCAGGTGGAAAGATTGTGAGTGTTTACAAAATGCTCTGCTTTTTTATTTGTTTCTGTTATGCTTGTGATATTTGGTGTCCCCAAAAAACATTTTGAGTGTCACCATTAAGTATTTTTATTTTATTTGTTATAGGGTGAGACCGAGTCAGTCACTCTCAAATCTTGTCTTCGCAAAACAACAGACACGTTGGACAGGAGATTCTGCTTAGACCTGGACATAACAGATCGGTACTTTATCGCCTCACTCTGTTTTACAAACCCCTTTATAGAATCAAGCTGTTTGTAACGCTGTTTGTTCACCTGGAAATGCCTCTTGGAGGGCTCTTGCAAGAATATTTTCTGATGCTGCTTTTTTTTAGCATTATTAAATCAATCTTACATTTGTTCGTTATGTTAAAGAGCTTAAATTCACATGCTTACTGAATGTTATTCAGTGTTTTGAATTGCAGCGGGCAGGGTATGAGCGCTTATCACACCCTTCCGCAATAGATACCCCATTCTGTCACCCTATTTAATCATGCCTAGCACGTTCTTTGTAGTATTAATAGAAAGGAAACTTGAGCGAGCTTGTCTCGTCTGACTGTCATGTTATTTTATACCCATTTGGTCCTAAATGATTGTAGGGGTCATAAAGCAGTTGAAGCTGAAGTTTGTAGTTACAGAAAATCTTGTTTCCTTTGACAGAGAGTATTTTACTGTCGTAGAGAATACTTATACACAGAATGTTTCATCTTGACACTGGAACACGTCTCTAAGGCCTGGTCTAAAGTTAATGAGGTATGCATCTGTTACAGGCCGGGGACGGTCCTCACTGTGCAGTCCCTCTCAGAGGATGACTACAAGTTTTGGATGCAGGCCATGGGTGGGAAGGAACCTGTGAGTCAGCCTCAAATGTGTCATCATCATCTGCCACAGACTCTCCTTGATCAGCTTTCACAGCTGCCCTATAGAACACTTATCTTTTGTTTCTTTTACTTAAACATATGTAGTTACTACTAAATGACATAAGGGTCTATATGTTTGGAAATCAAAACATAAATATATATGCTTTTTTTCATCAGCTTGGATGTTATCTTGGGAGGACTCTTTCTAAAGAAAGGGGAAGTAAGTTTCTTGCTACTCTTTCTAAAAAAAAGGGTTTTGCTAAAACAGCTTAATTTTTTATTTTTTTTCTCCACATTTAGTTGACGCCCAGTTGGACGATGTGGGGTTAACTTTCTTGCAGAATTCCATCAATGCAATAGAAACAAGAGGTGAAGTGAATTTATATTTACTTGTGAATGCACGGAAAGGTTCAGTCCAGAAAGCCGCAAAGTGTTTAATATTGGTCTGTAATGTAATAGTGTCTGCATAACGTCTTAGTTTGTACACAAGGGGGCAGACTTTCTCCAGTAACTGGAATAAATGCCAGGGAGCAGGTGCTTCAGGCAGCTTGCTCTTTAAATATACAAATGCTTTTTTATTGAGTAGTGCTTTTGCTCTAATTAATTAGCTTCAGTGCTCTCGTGAATTTCTAACCTAATTTGTTAAAAAAAACTTGACCTACTTTCCAGTTTCTTCATGCAAATTGTCAACTGTGATACCAAACTTACTTCATTTATAAAATATTAATAATCTGCAAAAAAATGTCCATCCACAAGTTTTTATCATTTTGTCACTGTTGTGTCTTATCAGTTTTATTATTACTGATTAGGTATTGATGACCAAGGCCTGTACAGAGTTGGGGGAGTGAGCTCTAAGGTGCAGAAACTTCTCTCATTAATGATTGGTAAGTTTTATTTTTTTTCTGCCTCTGATATAGTTAAAATTGTGGTCACAAATAAAGTTTTGCTTAGTTAAAAAACAAGTTTTGATCATTCGTGGTATCCTGATGTTGTCTAATTGAACGATTTTTAAAAAATGTAGTGACTGGAAATCACTGCATGACTCAGCTTATCTGTACCAAGTTTCTCTAAAATGCAACAAGTTGGAGTGTAAATCTTTGCCTTACTTTGATTAAAATTTTAAACTCTCCACACAGTCAGCCAGCCACCGTATGTCCTATTAGTATTCTTGTGCTTTTTTAGGTTTTGCTTCATCAACACCCCACCAAGCCAGCGTCTCCTCTGCTCGTGGCAGGCTTGTTCTGTCAGCTGCCTGTCTCGATTGCCTTTATGCCTCTCACTTGTCTCTATTCCCTTTCAAGCAACTTCTTTCCTGTAGAGCTTGTTCTCTGTCCTCTCTGTAGCTCTATGTCTGCTCTGTGGTTTCCTGCTGTCTCCAGCAGACACCAGCTCACTTTCAGCTCTGTGTTCAGAATGACAACGAAGTCAAGCAGTCGCCAGACTGTCTCAGCTTCCTCTCGCTCAAAAAACCTTCCAGCCTGCCAATCTGCAGATTCACACCATTAACACTTTGCTGTAAAACTTTAAAAAGTTTTTTTAGATTCGGAGTTGCGTAATAATCACGATCCCCGTTCTTACTGTTTCATAGAAAAATACAGATTTCATCCATTTGATTTCCTCCACAGACACATGAACACTTTAATAAAACAAAAAGCAGTTCTCAGGTCGCCTTGAAACTGCTTTAAATTAGAAAAAGACTTTAAATTCTTTAGCTCTCTTTTATTTCATCGCTCAGCCATCATTATGGCCACAGTGCAGTCAGCAAGGACACATTGATAAAAAGCTCTCCCATCATATTACAGAACGAACAAAGAAAGCAACCCCTATTAAATGACAGACAACCATACAGCAGGAAGAAAACTGTGAAAGTGAGATCCTGTATGTGTCTTTGTTACAGACGGTCGGGGCAATAAGCCGTTGTTTTTATAGCATTTAGATTAAAAAATCCTGGATTATGTTTTTATTATTATTGAAGTTTTAAAAGTAAAACATACAGATTTGAGGAATCATGGTTATGCTTGATGATCAGAAAATGTGTTTTTCAATCAACCGACTTCTCCTTTATAAAATTGTGTGTGGTAAAAAAAAGGTATTTGCTTTGATCAGTATCATTCCATATCCCCTACATTTAAACTTACCTGTTGTGTTATATTTGCCACATTGACCCTTTAACATCAAAACAATGAGCTGAACTTCAGCTGCTGGTTTTTTACAATAGTTTTTTTAAATGTTGTGCTGCTGCAGCATTTTTCTCTTTTTTTTCTGATTACCTGACCTGAATGTTCTGAGATGGCCTATTAGTGCAAAAGGAGTCTGCAGATCCTATCTATCTTGAATACAGACACACGCCTGTCTATAAATCCTTCTTTGCAGAAACTGACATTGAACAGGTCATTTATGTAGATGGTGTAGGCAGAGGAACTCATTGCCCTCCTTCCTGCAAAGCCAAGATGAAATTAGAAAATTACTAGAAGACCACCTACCAGACACCGGTGTGGTGACTCAGGCCCTATGCACTATAAGTATCTTACTCTAACTTTTTTCTGACTCATTGCATTTCCACATCATCTTTAATTCAACAGAGGTTTCTCAAGGTGTGACTAAAGCTCCCTGAATTTTCAGCATAACACACCTCTGGAGTCCCTGTGGAGTCAGTGAAGTAGTAAGGGATTAATTAAACTTCTAATGAGTATAAAACTAGCAGCTCTGTACCAAACTCCAACTTCTTTCCACATCCACTGAGAATACACACAACTCTGTGCTACCAGCGATGTCTTTTATCCTCTTATGGCTAATTACAAGTTACATATTTATATTTCATTTTAGGACTTGCTAAGTGGAACGTCAAATAATATAGCCTTTAACTTTGTATCGTGTGAACAGATTTGTCTAAATGCAATTTATATGCCAAGTATCTGTATTTCTTATAGTAATGTTTTGTCTGATTCATTTAGATGAAAAAAGCAATGAAGTGGATCTATCAGCCAGTGAAGACTGGGACGTGAAGACAATCACAAGTGCATTAAAGCTTTATTTGAGGTAAGCATCAGAGGAATGACATACCACATGTTCACACCTAAAAACTATTTTGTTTTATTCTTTATATTTTCTGTGACTGTTTTATATTAAATGTATTCATTACAGTTAAATCATTCAGTTATAGCTCTGTCTCCATTTAATGCAGTTTTTTTTTTTTTATTCTGCTGGACACACCCCTTGTTATTGTCATATGACTTTCTCAAGAGTTTATTATTGTTGGGTTATGAATTTTTTGTCAGTGATTGCCAGTGTTAAAGGCCATACATGCATAGTATTAATTCAGCCATCAACCTTATTCTGAATAAGTTAGCATTGCCGCTTGCAATGTCTTGATTACACTTTCATATTTTTTCACTGTGAAAAGAAAGCTAGTAATCATTTTACCAAAACATTTGGTTTTGATTGGCTTGATTTTGTTTGACCAGGAAGTTTTTCTACTTTTTAGTGTATTGCTAATACAAACTGGAGTGATAATGCTATTCCATTTACTACAGTCAGCATTAGTTTGAATATTATGTGTGCATTTTTAGTCTTTTTTGTAAACTTGACTTTTCTAAAACTGGCATGATCATGGATGTAAGGAGTAAGTCTGTTTACACCTATATTTGTTTACATTTAGTAAACTATAAATTAGGCTGTTGACTGAAGATAATGGTAAAGTTTTAAAAACAAGGCTCTCAGCTACTAATTGGAGCTTATCACGATATCTGTGTGAACATTGCAAAGGACGTATATCACACCTGATATCGTCATTGCAGTATTTACAAATATCATCGCCGTTGCAAGATTTTCTAATATTTTAGTCCTGCGACTAACCAACCAAATTTTAGCTCATTTTGGTAAAAGTGGCTTAGTTATAGCCCAGTTTGTGTTTGCTTTGACCATTATCTTGAATTGGGGTGACTACAAAACCCAGTGTCCATCCAATAATTTTATTAAGATCCATCTATTGGTTTATGAAATATATTTTTTAAATGGTACAGTCGAGTGCACACACATTTGTTCTTCTTTCATCATGGGGACTTTGCATTGACTTCCATTCATTTACCGGTCATTTCTATAGCCATTCCCTGACCTATAAACCTAACCACAACAGTACATACCTAACCCTAAATCTAACTTAAACTCAGTTTGCATTTTATTCCTAACCCCTGATCCACCAATAGTATTTCCCCCATGGGGACCAGGCTTTTGTCTTCCTAAGGAATAGTGGATCATCTCAAGGCTGTGTACCCCAAGGAAATGGACAAAAAATGTCCCCACCAGGCAACAAAAACATGTACACCTACACATGTTTAAAAAAAGTTGTTGTCTTCAGTCAATGAAGATAAATTGTACTCAACATTTTGTAAAACAGTCACTGCCATCTAAACGTGGTTCATTCCATCAACATATCTATATTATTTTACCTGGGGGCATAAAGCAGGTCAAGCTCCTCAGTCTCCTCTTAAGCTAAATACTTTTGGCCATAATCCAGCTGCAGCGTGAATATACCTTCAGATGAACTTGGCCATCTCAACGCGTGTGCCTTGTAATTCCATCCACAGGCCTAGTCACATTAATCATTGCTATGTGCAGCCCCTATAAAACACCGTGCCAGCTATTTCTGTCCTCCTTGCTCACTTCTACTTACCACTTCCACCTTCAGCCCACTCCCACCTCCACCCTAATTCTCTTCTCGTCTCTGTGTAGGAGCCTACCTGAGCCATTGATGACCTATGGACTTTACAAAGAGTTCATCAGCCCTGCGAGTAAGTTTCACCTTCTCATGCACTTATTCTTCATCGGGATACAGATTCTGAACAAACACAGGTGGATACACTCACTGTCAATTTTGAAAAGTGATGCAACAAAGTAAAGAAAAATACTTGAAAATTGTTTACATGAATTTGTTCATTTGTTATATTTGATACCTATTGCACCTTTACACTGAAGCAAATTCCTAGTCTGTGAATCCTGTTCATTGACAATGGTAATAAAACTGATTCTGATTCTGATTTAACCAATTTTTTTTTAATTGATGGCCTCCCTTCTCCCCTTATAGCATCCTCTCCACACCATTATTATGAAATGTTTTTTTTAATTTTTTTAATTTTTTTTATTAATAGAAGAAAAAGAAGAAGAAAGAAAAAAGTGAAATGTAATGAGAGTGAAAAAGAGGTTAGAAGATATGTAAAATATATGTTGAGAAAACACAAGACAGCACACTGGACTTCTTGGCTCCACACCTACAAAACAAAGATAACAAAACCACAGCAACAAAAATGCATATCTATATAATTATAATGACTTTAGCCTTGCTGAAAACCATACCCGTATACATATATAAATTTATACATATACACATAAACATACCCCTATCTACATATCCAAACACTTTCATATACATATATATACACATACATACAGTGGGGAGATCAAGTATTTGATACACTGTTGATTTTTCAGGTTTTCCCACTTGCAAAGCTTGTAGAAGACTGTAATTTTTTATCATAGGTACTCTTCAACTGTGAGTGATGGAATCTAAAACAAAAATCCAGAAAAATACAATGTATGATTTTTAAATAATTAATTTCCATTTTATTGTGTGAAATAAGTATTTGATACACCAGAAAAATGAAACTTAATATTTGGTACAGAAACCTTTGTTTGCAATTACAGAGATCAGACGTTTCCTGTAGTTCTTGACCAGGTTTGCACACACTGCAGCAGGGATTTTGGCYCACTCCTCCATACAGATCTCCTCCAGAGCCTTCAGGTTTCGGGGCTGTCACTGGGCCACACGGACTTTAAGCTCCCTCCAAAGATTTTCTATTGGATTCAGGTCTGGAGACTRGCTAGGCCACTCCAGGACCTTAAGATGTTTCCTACAGAGCCACTCTTTAGTTGCCCTGGCTGTGTGTTTTGGGTCGTTATCATGCTGGAAGACCCAGCCAYGACCCATCTTCAGTGCTCTTACTGAGGGAAGGAGGTTGTTGGCCAAAATCTCACGATACATGGCCCCATCCATCCTTCCCACAATATGGTGCAGTCGTCCTGTCCCCTTTGCAGAAAAGCATCCCCAAAGAATGATGTTTCCACCGCCATGCTTCACGGTTGGGATGGTGTTCTTGGAGTTGTACTCATCATTCTTCTTCCTCCAAACATGACGAGTGGAGTTTAAACCAAAAAGTTCTATTTTTGTCTCATCAGACCACGTGACCTTCTCCCATTCCTCCTCTGGATCATTCAGATGGTCATTTGCAAACATCAGACGGGCTTTGACATGCGTTGGCTTGAGGAAGGGCACCTTGCGTGCACTGCAGGATTTTAATCCTTGACGGCGTAGAGTGTTACTGATTGTTTTCTTTGAGACTGTGGTCCCAGCTCTATTCAGGTCATTGACCAGGTCCTGCCATGTAGTTCTGGACTCATTCCTCACCTTCCTCAAGATCAATGACGCTCCACGAGGTGAGATCTTGCATGGCGCCCCAGACCGAGGGAGATTTTCCCTTATTTTGTATTTCTTCCATTTTCTAATAATTGCACCAACTGTTGTTGCCTTCTCACCAAGCTGCTTGCCTATTGTCCTGTAGCCCATYCCAGCCTTGTGCAGGTCTACAATTTTATCCCTGATGTCCTTACACAGCTCTCTGGTCTTGGGCATTGTGGAGATGCTGGAGTCTGATTGATTGAGTGTGTGGACAGGTGTCTTTTATACAGGTAACGAGTTCAAACAGGTGCAGTTAATACAGGTAATGAGTGGAGAACAGGAGGGCTTCTTAAAGAAGAACTAACATGTCTGTGAGAGCCAAAATTCTTACTGGTTGATAGATGATCAAATACTTATTTCACACAATAAAATGGAAATTAATTATTTAAAAATCATACATTGTATTTTTCTGGATTTTTGTTTTAGATTCCATCACTCACAGTTGAAGAGTACCTATGATAAAAATTACAGTTCTACAAGCTTTGCAAGTGTGAAAACCTGAAAAATCAACAGTGTATCAAATACTTGTTCTCCCCACTGTATATATATACTTTTTGTTTTAGTGTGGACATTTTTTTAAAAGTAGGTAAAAGTGTAAAAAAAAAAGCACCCTGACTGAGACGTGTCACCACCAGGTGTAAAATATATATCAAATTCCTCATTTCAACTAGATTTTAAATATTTGAAAACCACTGTTCATTGTGTGTCCTCCTGTGTGTATCATATTTGGTTTCAGTATTGTGTCACTTTACTAGTTGTGTTTGTTGATTCCCACTTTGTCAAACAGTCTTGAGAGTTTGACTTGTACACCTTTCTTTAACTCTCTGCTCTATAACCTTTACTTGCTGACTTTCTACCTTTTTTAACATTTTATCAATTATATGAGTAAATAAAACATTACAGGTTTTAGAGCAAAGTTGTCCAATAACCTTCAGTAACAAATCAACATCACTTTATTCACCCACGTAACATAATTTCAGTATGAAATGCTTTTGAAGCCAGCCAAACTTGAATCTAATTACAACAAGTGCTATAATTGGATCAGGTTGATGTTTTTATCAGGCACTCGCCATGCCCTTATAACGAGGAGGAAAAATGGATTAGTAACGAATATATTTTTTTAAGAATGACAGCAGCCATAAGAATTTTTTTCTTCCATGTTTAAATCCTTGTCGTTTCCATAGTAATGATATTTTGTGTGTCTGTGTGTGCTGCTGTGTGGGCGTTCAGATGCCTGTGTCTGAGGAAATGTTTAGAAGATGATCTTGGAGGTTTTTAACACAAACCTTTTACACGATATCGACAGCGACGTAAAGCTATCTCCCACCGCCAGCATAGATGTTCCTGCTGCCAAATTCAGAGGTGGTTTAGCCCATCACACTTCTTCTTCATTTATATGAATATATGAATATGAATATGTCTTCATATAATATTTAGGTCTTCACATCTCTCATCATTGTGTCTTTAAAGGTCTTACTGTTTTTGTTTTTTTATATATAATTATTCATATTGCCAAAAGCTTTGTAAAATGTTACAGGGTTCCCTTTTCCACTAACTTATCCAGTGTTTTGTTTATTTTATACCTCAAACTGTGTATACAGTGTTGCGTCATCTGTGCTGGCTTTTTGCCACCTTAGGACTACACAGAAATCCATGTAGATTAAAATGAGCGCATGGCTCTCTCTGCGTTTGAACAGAGGGCAGTAGTCCCGAGTCTCGCATCCAGGCTGTCCACTGTTTGGTCCACAAACTACCAGAGAGGAATCGACAAGTCCTCGGGCTACTTATGAAGCATCTGGCCAAGTGAGTGGTCATAGTTCACCCAATCTCCACCTCCTCTCTCTCAGTTCTCTCTTTCTGCTCTTCATGTCTGTCTCCTCGTTCTCACTCCACATGCTTTTTCTCTCCATCGCCCTCACTCCCACTCTCTTCACTCCCCCTTCCCTGCTGTCACTCCATCTCTTCTCCGTCTACCCAGTGACTGCTGGCTGACAAAGCTGACTTTTCTTTTGCCTTTTCTTGGGTCATTTTCATGTTTATGCAAAGTTGTTTGGGGAAGATAATTTTGCCTGTATCATACATGTTAATCATCCAGTTTTGCTGCCTAACAGAGAGGTGAAAAGAACAGGCTACTCAAGTCAAGGTTTCTATTAGGAGTGCTCCACAGAACCCTGGGTGGACTATTATTATGCATCACTGCCTTTGGTGGATTGGATAGGAAGAACGATTTAAGCAATAATGTTAGCTAACATTACAAGGTTTTACCTCAGCATGCTTTTTATAAACTAAATATGAGCAAATTGAAGATAAGTAAATAATCCCTCTTCCCTGAGGCAGTTAAAGTCTGGTGGATCTTATTTCATAAAAACCCACTGCAGATTCGAGCCCTGGTTAAAAAAAAAAGAAGAAGAAAAAAAGGCAGCGCTATTGAAATTGAATTGGGATTATCCAGCGTGAAATTCTCCAGACTGGAGACTTTAATTTTTTTTTTTTCTGAAGTTGGCTTGTGTGCATGTCCTGCAGGGAAAGGAAGCAAAGCCAGAATTTCACACTCCTATCTGAAATGGTTTCAGAGATGTTATAAATATGAGTTGTCACCAATGTTTTTGTCTTCAAAGGCATCCTTTGAAGCAATTTAAACAGTCTCTCTGCTGCTATGACACACATCATCTTATTTTGAGTGTGAAATCACTTTGCATGTCCAGATAAGTTGAAATAAAGGTTTTATCCACTTTTTGACCCCCTAAAGTAATCTCTATTGAAGATGTCCCAGTTTAAAATGAATATAAAAGACATTTACTTCTCAAGAAAGTAATGTCTTAGATATTAATTCGAACGTTGTGGCTTGAGAGTGGAGCAGAGCTTTGAATGAGAGTGACCACATTCACTTGGTGCTCACACTGCATATAGTTACAACAAAACAACCTTAATGCAGAGTTACACTTATAGCATTTATTTTGTATTGTTTTAAGTGAGTATGGCCATCTACATCTTTATTTGTTACTGTTCACTTTTAAAGATTACAATCCTTTGCATTTGTTGTCCTCCTGTAGTTTTATCTGTTCTTTATTTTGATATTTTTTGGATGAATGTCTATTTTTTCTCTGAAGTTTGAGTAAAATGTCATACATGTATTTATATTTTTTTAGTGTGGCAGCTCACAGCAAATCAAATCTAATGACCGTGGCCAACTTGGGCGTGGTGTTTGGCCCCACATTAATGAGGCCACAGGAGGAGACCGTCGCTGCCATCATGGACCTCAAATTTCAAAACATTGTGGTGGAAATCCTTATTCAGCAACATGAAAAGGTAACACTCACAATCTGCTTTTACCATTGCTTTGTAGCTGTGTCCAATGTACTTTTACAGAGTATTGCATTTAATACAAAAACGGGAACAAATCTGGTTCATCCTGCCAGTGCAAACTTTGCTTATAATTGTGTTCCCATCTGCCATCTTTAACTGTACATACTGAAGACTGTGTGTCCCGGCAACACAAGATAAACTGAAAGTACTAACAGAAACTTCAGGTGACATACCAGCAGTAAGCTGCATCTTTGTTTACTATCCTAGGTGGCAGATAATTATGTGATACTGAAAAATAATAACAGTGCAAGCAAAGCAAAATAGATTTTTAAGTCTGCTCTTTTGTACTGTTGTTTTACTTTTACATTTTGTATTTTACTCCAGGATTAGGAGTCAGGTTTTCCCATTAGCAAGGAGAAGCCCAGACAGCTGAGATTGTCTGTATTCATATTCCTTATCAATTTGCTGCTTGAAACATTTTTTTTCAGTTTCTTTTAAACAAAACACAAGTAAACTTCTCAGACTTTTCACTTGAGCTCCTGAGGCGGCATATTTTAGAGAGAAACTAAGGCAGAGATCCCCACCCCAGGTCCTCAGGAGCCACTGCCCTGCATGGTTTAGATGCTTCTCTAGTGCAAAAAACCTGATACAGTACATCCTCAGCTCATCATCAAGTTCTGCAGAAACCTGGTGATCATTGGTTCATTTAAATCAGAGTTGTTACTCACAACAAAAATATGCAGAACAGGACTCTTAGGATAAGTTGTGGACCTCTGTACTAATGTACAAATGAAAAAAGATAGTTATTACGCTTAGATATTTATTTCAGTCTGGCCAATAGGGGGAGCCCTGAGTGCTTAAACCTGGCTTGAAAACTTGACGTCCCTTTTAATATATGGAGTTTATTTATTCTTCAGGTAAATTGTCTAGATTGGTAAATTCTGTCTTTTTGAATTTACTTATTTTAGTTATGTCTGTCTAACTTTGTGTATTTTACTTGATTGTGTAATCTCTCCAGAGTGCTATTAATTGGTGTTAGTCCTAAAACAGTGGTTACTTCTCCTTGTCAGTGGAGAAGAAATCTCAGAGGGTAGTTTTCTAATCTGAGAAGAACTGCACTCTGCCCAGAATCAGATGAGACCAAAAGCTTTAAGTGTTATTTTTTATATGTTTTTTCCTTAGCCATATTAAATTGAAGAAGTTATAAATAATATCTTCACCAACTCTCACAAATCTAAAATGAAAATGAACAGGGTGTATGGTGCTCGTCTCTGAACTACCTGGAGTGTCCAACAACGGCCGGGTGTTAAAAAAAATGAAGTGTTAGAATGCAGCAGGACCGTTTTTGAAAGTACAGCATGTTAGAGCAGGGGAAAGGCTGAGCAGACAGACAGGCATTAACTTTCTTCACAGCTGAGTCCCACTCCAGACTGTTGATACCCCCAGATACCAACAGTAGACTGTTTTACATTCACCTCCATGTGTAGAGCGAAGCAGCAGAAACTCTCAGCCATATCAGATTTCTCACTTTTTCTATCTCCAAACTTTTTCTCTCTCATGCCCTCCCCTCCTCTGCGTTTCTCCAATTCACACTGTCTAACTTTCTCTCTCTCTCTCTCTCTCTCTCTCGCTCTCTCTCTCGCTCGCTCTTCCCTTCCCTGCCTCTCTCCTCTCTGCGTCTGTGATCCTTTCTCTGGCTCTGCTGAGACTTCCTCTCTTCTGTAGCCGTATACTCTTTCAACTCATCACATCTAAAGTTTGTATGTAAACATGGTCCGCTGTAAACAGGCTGCACCATTTGGCCAGGTCCTCTCAAGCCCAAACCGTGTTTGTTACTTTTCACTCTTTCACAGACTGGGTTCAAATTTTCTGAGGGGGAACAATCACCTCAACTTAGACTAAGATTTTTTGGCTCAGTGGGATTTGTGTGGAACTGCATTTATTTATTTGTATATTTGAGAGAGAGAGAGAGAGGCACTGATATAACCTTCTTAAAAGCAGCTTTAAGGGTACAGTCAATGTAGTGCACAGCTTCCCCGGTGAGGATGAACTGTATCAGCAAATACTTTTCTGTCTACCACTGCATAAAAACTGAGTTTTCAAACTTGCGTGGTTAGTAGCTGCTGCTCTTGGAGTTGCTGCACTTTAAGGTTGCGTTGCGCTGGAGACTCACTCATGTGTTCATTTAGATTTTTACAGACGCTCCTGACTTGAGCCCACTTTCACCTGCTGGCCTGGTGTTGTCTGCTCCCACGAGGCAGTCTAAAAAACAGAGTCGACAGAACCGGCCCCTGGCGGTCTACAATCCACAAGTCCTTGACATTCAGAATGGTAAGAGGTTTGCAAATTTGCACTTGTCTTTTCACATTTCCTGATTTGTTAGAAGAGTCATGAAAAGCACTGCAGCGGTCAACTCATGTATTTGTTCATTTGTAGAGGGCAAAGTGAAATCGGAAGCAGCACATGAGTAATGCTGTGTGTGTGTGTTTCCCTTGCTTTTCTAGACAGCCGTTCATCCATTCTGCTTCACACTTGGCAAATGCTTCACTGAGGTCCCAAAGAAGTGCTGTGTTGAGTGTGAAGGAGTTTGGATGAGTTGTTTTCATACTTTAGTTAAAAGAAGTATTCTGTAGCGCCTTCACGATACTGAGTTCTCACTCGTCTGCTGCCTGTTTGTCATCAGGGGGCATTGATGGCACTTAGACACACAGACTTCCATTTAGTGAGCTTGTCTTTACAGTCATTAGGAAGGTTTTAGCTTTGTTTTAAAAAGCTTACAGTATCACAACATTGTTTTGTTTTTGTTTTGCTTTCCTGTTTAGAGTTGTGTTTTCCCCCCTGTCTTCGAATGTCTTCGAAAAGATTTGCAGGGAGATTTAGGTCTGAACTCGGTGACCCTTAGTCAAACTGTAAAAGTTTAATACTTAATAACCACTCATTTATAGTTTGAGCTTACTGATAGTTGTTCCTAGTGTTGTCATTTAATTAGTTGTTTTCTTAAAAAAACCATTATACTGTATAGGATTGTTGAATTTATGTAAAGCAGCTCACATCACCAGTTGGGGTAATTTAAAGTGATTTTTTGGCTTAGCTTTGCAAATACTTAAATATCAATTAAGACAAATTAAACTGTTACTTCCAGTCCAAAAATATTGTTGAATCAGTTTGATTTCCCACTCGTGATTTTTTTTTTCCCTACATAATAAATATATTTGTGGTTGTAAGAGTATTTGTGTATGCTGTATCAACATTATTCATGTGTGATTAAAATTACTTTTTGAATTTGGTTAATCTTCTTGCTACTTTGAAACAAGGTTGAAATTTTGAATGGAAAACATTTTCATACTGCCTGTTCTGTAGTTATTACTACAACTCAAAAGGCTCTAAGCATGACACACTGACCTCTGTTACCTCCTCTCCATAATCATGTGTAAACAGGTTTACATCTGTGACCTTTACGTGCCCTTGTGTACTTGTGTTCCCTCTTGAATTTAATGAAATGGGAGTCTATAAAAAGGTCCCATTGTGATTCATCAGGAGAGCAGATCACCTGACTTGCTGACCCAAAATCTACTCCCAACAGTTTCTGATCTATGGTTCTTAAAATCCCCTCTTCTCAGTACCAAAGGAGTCTAAATCTGCCTTTCTTTCTTCTACTGTGGGTTATTTTAATATCAGGGGATTAAAAAGTGTAATCTTTAAACCTTTGTCTTTCCTTATGGAACCAACATAATGAGAGCAAAAGCAAATATAAGGACATTGAAAGAGGAAACAGAAGAGTGTTACACAGATGGCTTTTTGAAAGCCTGTGTGGCGCTGTAGGTGTGACATCAGACTGTGTAGAGAAGTGCAGTATTCTGAATATTAGAGCTGATTAGCATGTCACCAGTTTTTCTGTTTTGTTTAAAACAGCTCAATTTAGTATCAATAAAATTCAGTGTTATGTTATCAGTGTTCTTGATATCTTAATTTACTGAGTTTTAAACTGAAATACAAAAAGCTGGATCTTCCAAGCGTATTTTAGCTTTTTGCCTTTATTATTAGGAACAGTATAAACTAATTTGTAAGTCTCACATGCTTTGACTGAGGTTTGTATTCATGAGGCTTGTATTTATACGGTTTTTATTTATTTATAAAGATAATGTTCTGCTGCCCGACCGTAAATCTTCTTCTTCCTTGTATGTCAGCAATAGTAGATGGCTCTAACCCGATGGCAGATGAGACGTCGATGGGCAGCAACGAGTCTGTGTCCTCGCAGTCATCGTCAGCCTCGACCTCAGAGCTACCTGCAGAGAAGAATGACCTTGCCTTGCTTGCTGCCAGCTTCAGTTCAAGCAGCAACTCTCAGTGAGTGTTTCTGCATGCTTTTATTATGAAACAGTTTGTTTCATGTATATGAAAGGTTGCTGAAATACAAAATAGACTAATGCACAAATTAATGTGTGACTTGCTGATCACTAAAACTTCAGATGTTAACGGTAGAGTTTTTAAAGTGGCCAAAAAAGAACATTTCTATATTATTCACTACACATTAATAAACACACTCTACAGATGCAATGTTGTCTCTTAATGTTATCTTATAAAACATCTGTACTTAGATTTAAGGAGTAATAGTATTTAAAATCACACTTGAGAAAAACTTGGGAGAGAAAAAAGACAGATTAAAAAAGTTTATAAATAATTGTGGGATTTTAAATGCTTAATTAAAAAAGCGTAGAAATATAAATCTGAGAATTTATAATAAGCCAAAGCCCAACTTAGTTTAAGCACAAATATTTAGCAGTAAATCTGAAATGTGAGGTGTGTTTTTGTTTGTTTGTGTGTGTGTTTATTTTTTTTTTATTTTTGTTACATTTAGACTTTTTTTGGACTCTGGGCACATTAGTTATATATATATATAGTTTATTTTAATCTTTGATTAATTGTCTTTTTTTGTTTTATTTTATAATGGAAAGTTTTTCATCAAAACTAGATTTTAAGTGTTTTATAATTCAGAAAATAGCTCTCTAGGTCAGGTAAAAGTAACTTCCCAGCTTTTAAGCGAAAAATGCTTCTAAACCATAGACTTAAATGGTAGATCACCAGACTGAGCCTCGCCCATACTGTACACTGGTAGCATCTGTGACAGCATGGAGGAGCAGAAACAGACCAAACAGGGCAACAGCTCACAGCCTCCATAGAAACTAATAGATAAACAACAGCTGAACTGGATCTGTTTCACAAATTATCGGTCATGTTTTTACAATAAATTAATATGTTAATTTCATTCAACAATCATGTAAAACAGCAGATTTATACCAGAAAAAATATATAATTTATTAGAAACAATGATCTAAACCAGACCAGAAGYCAGCCTGTAACTTASACTTTAGCTAGTTGAAAAATGATGACTTCAGCWAGTAATAAAGTATATTTATTATTTCTTCTTACGGTCATAAAAATAAGAATATTTATATTTACCAGTCAACAGTTAGAAAATGTTCTCTGGTTACAGGATGAAACTTGTCTCTATTAGCTAACCATCTTCTCAACAGGTTCCTCTAACAGAAACCGAAAAATACTCACATTTATAATATTATTTTACACTCTGTAGGTCTAAATATTAATCAGAGGACAAAGTAATATTTAATAGTTTGTGTTAAATTGTTGCATGATTCAACAGTGCTAAACTCTGTATATGCTCCACAAGCTAATATCTGCTAACCAGTTCAATAAATAACAGTGATTACATCAACGTTATAAGATTATTTTAATTTTAAACGGTTACATTATGTTCTGCTCAGATCACATTGAGCTAAATAAGATCAAATCTGCTGACTTGTGTTGTAAAATGAGATGTTTTCCTGTTTATCTTCTGTTAATAAATCCATAACACAAACAGCTTTTCTGACATTATTTAAAACATTAGATATATTATATAAACTGTAAAATATTAATAATAATTGGGTTAATATTATTAATAATAGTTTTTATGATTTCTACATTGTCAGTCCTTGTTTTCTGCTCTGTTGTCAACATGTACAGTAATGGGAAATCCAGAGTCTTACCCGTTTAGCGTTAACCGTTAGCTTCTCCAGCTGATCACACAGTCACATGGTTTCTGCACACTCCAGCTGTTCTATATAAACTTCTTGTTCTAACCACATCCAGCTTCATTCATCATAGACAGCTCTTAACCTTTTTACTTCTCTGTGTGTTTTAGTTGTAGCTCAGTTACTTCTTTGCCACTTTGATAAAACACATTTTTGTCCAAGAAATTCAATCAATACTTCTGTGGACAAACTCAATTATGGGATTAATTTAGTGCATGAAGCATTTGTAGTTATTTTTGATCGCCACTTGCGATAAAATAAATCTTTTTATTGTTCAAGGTTTTGTCATACAGCATCTCTCTAGTCTAGTCTCTCCTCTGTCCCTCGAAGTCCTTGGCTCTTTTTGTTGTTTTCAGCCCAGAACTTGCCTTGAATGCTGATGCGAGAGATGAATTATTGGGTTATGCTGCAGATGTTAGACTCACTGCTGTGTCATGTCTACAAATTCACCTTGAGAAAGACTGTCTCTCATTCACCGTCGTCTTCTCTGTTTTCTGGGAAAAAAGGAATAAAATTAAAATAAATCCCCTTCATGGCTTGACCGGACAGTGAGGTTCCTTTGGTGTATGACCTCTGTGGGTTTATGTCTGCTTATGTGTAGGCATGTACTTTTTATCAACAGAAATGAACAAAATGGACTTTATATACCTTGTCTAACCTACTATTTTTTTTTCCTCTGGGTGTTTTTTGTGCTTTCCCACATATGTGGCATCATGTTGGAGGACGGAAGGAGCAGCCAGGAGGAGGTCATAAATCTCAGCTCTTATTTGTTTGGAAGACAGGTGGCCGTGCGTTGGCCGTGTAAATCGTATTGACATTGGAGCGAAATTCATCTTGTTTACCCTTATAGCGGCGGCCCCTGTCCCTTTATGAAGACTTGCGCCATATGTCACAGGGTGTCGCCCTGGCTTTGGTCACTCATAAATCTTAGCATGTGCGATGGTAGGGACCTGTTAGCGCAGCACCTCTCTGGCGTTGAACACATGGATTCGGCTCTAGTCCGAGCCAAAAATGAGCAGGAATCACGTTTGCTAAATTACTTCCAGCCAGTCTCTGAAATGTTATATCTATACTCTGCTGTGCTCCAAATACACACCTGGACAACAGTGTATTTTGGTCAGTTTTCTGCAAAATCTGCGTGGTCATACAAAAAAGAAATGCATCCTGACTCACATTATTCCCCAATAAGATTTGTATGATTTATTGTTTCTGTGACTTTCGTTGACTCAACTCATTTCTCCTCCTCAAATTCAGTCAGTTACGTTGCATCTTCTCCCAGCAGCACGTTTGCTCCAAGTTCTTCCACATTACCTTTTCTGACATTTATTTCTTTTTCTTCTGTACTGCCCTACCTCTAGCCTTCCATGTCTCTTACAGCAGAAAGCTATGGATCATAAGAATGTATCCAGGCTGATTTCCTGCCCACCCAAACTGGCAGCTTGGCTGTAGGTTTGATCCTACTTTCTACTAGAATCAGGGTCTAAATCCCACCGCTGCCCATCTTCCTTTATACTAAAGGAAGATGATAGTCTCTCTCATCCCCGAGTCAGATCCTTGCCAGGATCAACGAGGCTTTGACGCTTGAGGTTGAAATTCCTGCAGTAATGAGAAACAGCCGTTTACTTGTGTAGATGAATTCCTACTTCTATTAAACTGATAGGGAGATAACCCTGATGTTCGTATCATAAAGCAGAAGACCTTCCTTTTGTATTATTGTTTAATTTTGAAGTCATTACACTAAATACTGTAGTTTCTTTCAGACAAATTATTTTAAAAAAAACAGTTGTGAAAAGTTGAGATAAATAGTACTGGAATTAGGATGGATTTTTTTTTTATCTTAGACATACTTAGAATGCCTTTTCACTTCCTCATTTAGTGCTTTTAATTATACTGACAGAAAAAGCTAAGCTAGGCCTGTAATAGGCAACTAAAAGCCATTTAAAGCTTAATGATTTTTTTTTCTGTTTAGGTGAGAATTTCCCTCCTCTTGACTTGCATGTAATTTTGAAAGCTGTATTCGAATAGATCCATGTATAATGCATGTTTTAGATGCTTCTCTACTTCAGCACACCTGCTTTCAGTGAATGGATGGCTTCTCCAGAACTTGAGGACAAACTGAAGAGGTAATTCAGCCATTGAAACAGGTGTGTTGGAACAGAGAAACAACTTAAATATGCAGGCTAGTGGCACTGTAGGGCCAGGCCAAGGCTTATTGTGTTCTGCAACATTTTACAAAATGTTTCCTCAAGAAAACAAAATACTAAACGACTAGCAACTATGCAATGTTTGTTGCTGCAGTAAGCACAAAAAGAAAAAAAAAAGCTTGCGCTGGTGTATTACCGTAAATAGAAGAGTATTGGTGCACTGCAATTTTAAGGGCAGGCAGTTTATGGTGTTGCTACAGATTTGACCTTTTCAGTGAGTGGCAGAAAGAAAAAGGAGCAGCACAGCAGCCAACGGGGGCATTGATGTAATACCAAACATGGCAGTATTTGGTTGCTTTTTACTTGATGGTAGTTAATAAAGATATAAATGTACTGCTGAATCAAAAAGGAGAAAATAATCACTACAAGGATTTCTTCAAACAGTACTGATTGATTATTATGTTAAAGCTGATTGGAAGTTACTTAATCTTCAAGTCAGAGTGAGTAATGTTTCATTTCTTTAAACAACCATGTGAGATATTATTTTAAACAACCATCCCACATGGGATGAAGATGCCAGGATTTATTGATCTTAAATTGTTAACCGGTGGTTCAGGGAGCATTAGACATCATTTTCACACACTAATTGCCTAATGTTTACAGATCTTAATGCCACTGGGATTCTTTATGATGTAATGGAAATGGCTGTGGTGTGGCTCTCCCATCATTGGTACAAAAAATGAAGCAACTCAAGATGGAAATGAATGTTGAGGTGATGCATTCTGTGAAAAATGGCACCAGGACAAATGTGTATTGTGATCAAAGCTAAAGGTGATTCAACAAAGTTTTAATATTTAAAACTGTTTCTTTCTTTTCAGTGTGCGGTGGATAACTGCAGTCTTACTTATAAAACGATTGTTTGAACTATTTAAATGAATTGACTTCCTTTATAGATAGCATTTTCAAGTTTAGGCACATTTATTACTTCCTATCCGTTGCTTAATCTCTATACCTGTCACTTTGAGGAGTGGGATTTATGCAAAATCAACTTTTTAGAGCTTTATATCATGGTATAATGTCATTCTCCCATCAAACACATAGAGTGTTGTTTTGACTCATCTGTGCATATTTGAGGCATTCTTAAATCTCATATGGTAGAGCTGCCGAAACACTTGCTGGTACAAAGCACTGCCTGTTTACCCAAAGCCCCTCCCTGGAGCTCAGTCCCCAGCCGTGCTCCCGCCCCACAGACCATCCCTCCCCCACATAGCTTCACCACACCTGGTGGAGCAGACGTCTGTTGAGCTTGTGATACGAACTACTTCTCAGTCCAGTCCTATTCTGATTAAAATAATGCCTTCATCGAGGAAATGTATTTTTAGATGCCAAGGGGACGACCTCTACTCTTACAAAGGTTGGAAACGGCTTGAAGCATTGTTGTGAAGACGTGCTGAAGTGAAAGTGTTGGAAACAGGATGTACTTAAAAAGACAAAGGCTAATTTTAAGGCATTAGGCTATGATTCAAAGTCAGCTTTATTTTTGACATATACAGCATTTCCACAACAACTGATGATAACAGATACTCGATTGTAGTATAGAATTGAACCACGTACCTGGAAATACATAATACCGACCTTTTTTTTGTTGGGCTGAGTCGCATTGGTAATATTGTGTTCAATATGTGCAATATAGTAAGAGTAGATTAGTAAGATTTTATATCAAATTCTAAATATATTTTCCCCCTTTTTGTAAACACAGTACCACATGTTTTGGGGGTATCAAATTGTTATTTAACCATTTTTCTTTACTCAGGTGGAAATCAGATTGACTAATTTGACAGGGTATGTAATATGTTGTGTTTCTTCTGTTGCTTGATGAGTTGGTGGGCCATCCTCTTGTGGTTCAGATCTTTAAGAGCTGAGCATCGTTTTAACCACTCCTGGCTTTGAGTGTTTGTGATTCAGTTCTCCTGCAGGTGTGTTAAGTGTGGGTCCTCCTCCTCCACCTCCTGTTGGCAGACAGTGATTGTGTTTTGGCCCAGGTTAATGAGTGGATTTGCTGCACTGCAGCGCACCGTCCCGCCATGCTGATGTGGAGCAGCTGAGCACCACAGTGGTCCCACACTGCTGCAGAGCAATAAATCACCCACCGTCAGACTGGGCCTGATCTGAACAGCTACCGCTGAGGATGGACAAGCGCACTAGGGGAGAGGCAGTAAAATAAAAAAAATAATAATAAAAAAAACGAAGGGAGGAAGCAATGCAGAGCATGAGCCCCAGAACCATGTTCACCTTCAGAAAAAGCCCCTTCAACGTGCTCTTCCTTAAAGCAATTTTTCTCTCCTCCATATAACCACTATTCTCAACATCCTCTCAAACCTCCAGCCCCTCCCCAGCTGCTCTCTCTAATTGCCTTTATTAACGTCTCTATGGGAGCAGCAACTAGAAGCAATTTGCTCATTATGTGCTGTATTAGCACTGGCCCTGGGGCAGGCATGGAACACAGAGGGATGCCTGGCTGAAAGTCCTGCTCCCCTCTGCAGCTCTCTGCCTTCACCAGGACCCCTGCCTCCATCCTTTAAGTCATCTATAAACTTGTTAGTCTTCTACTGTAACTGCTAAAGCTGTGGTTCATGTGCTGTCGTTTGACTGTTTACTCTCAGATGTTATTAACATCATTTCAGACTCTGAATTTAAGCTGGTCAAGTTCAATAAAAAATGTTGTGGGCTATGCATTTAGCCTTTGTACTATTTATATTTCCCTTTTTATTTTGTCCCTAATGTGACAATTGGTTAATGCACTCAAAGACTTCAGACAATCAGTCATATTAAATAAATGACTTTGTTAAAAAATAATACAACTGGGAAAAGAATCTGAATAAAGGATATGAATATGGGGTTAATGGAAGAAGAATTGAACTCAGCCTAATGCAACGAAGCTTTCTTTGTAATGAGTTTAAACTGTAGATCTTCAGTCTGAATATTAAATTTGCTTTTTGAATTTGCATTTCACTTCTTTGTGCAGCTGCTGAAAGACGATTCTTTTCAAAAGATTTTTTTTTTTTTTTTTGGCAGGTTATGAAAAATGGATGATTTAATTCATGGAAACATGTTGAGCTTTTTTTATTACTCTTGGTATCATTCACCCTGCATTTTCTTTCTCTCTCTTTTATTGATTTATAATGTGAGATACATTACTTATTGTTATTAACTATTGCAAAGTATCTAATTTGTATTTGAGTTTCACTTTTTACTCTGGTCCCTCCTCGTTTTGCTTCAGCTGCAACCAAAGTTAAATGATTCACTATCACAGTGAATTTAATGTTTTTTTTAAAGTCTGATCATTTTTCCCCACAAAATAGTGGACATAAAGTAGATTTTAGGAGCTAGCAGACTACATATGCGGTTAAAACATGTTATGAATAATCAGTTGTGGTCTTTTCCAGATGTCCTCTTTTTGCTGTTTCTGGAGCTTCAGGTGAGAGCCAACCTGCTGCCACGACAGCTGCGTATGAAAAGGAAAAGCAAGAGCAAAGGTAAACCAGCATTGTACCTTTCCTGAATAATACCAGCTGACCCGCTTTTCTATACGTAGTCTGCATTAGTAATTCTTACACCCACCTTTTGATTAGATCTTGTAAAATTAGATTATTTCCTTTTGGTTTTCACTTTTTCCATCGTGTCTCAATTGCTGGTTTTATCTTGAATGTTCAGTTAGAATCATCTGCACTCTCATTCGTCTAACCTTTATTTACAGCCTTGCACATAAATGTGTTTCCTCACTTTTTTATGTATATTCACCAGCGCTACAATTTAGTTATTTTTATTGAGGGATTTAGTGCAACACAAGCACTGGCTGCAGCTGGAGAGACAGCCTTACCTTCTTGTCAAAAACCACAAATGGTATCTGGGTGAACAGGACTGAAGGAACTGCAGAGACGGTCTGTTCATCAGGCAGAACTACTTTCTGCTTGCTTCAGTATGAAAGATAAAATCATTTTCAACGTCCTCAAATGTTGTTGCTGAGGAATATGCAGAGCTAAGACCAGTCCATTAAGGTTATTTTCATGTAAATACAAAATCTTTTTTTTTTTTGCAAGCGTCGCTCTACATTTTAAGGGCATTTCCCCCCAAAATTCTCAGTGTGAGAGCTCAGCTGAATGTTGTTGCATTGACAACTCTGTAACCACATACCCCACCCACCCCTCCACCACCACAGATTGTGCATCTTCTTTTTTCCCTTTTTTTATCCTATATTGTTGCTGCTTTTCCACACAAAATATGAAATATTTATCAGGCCATTGTGTGTTGAAGGCAAGATACGACGTATTATTCTTGCCGGGATTCAAGATAATAAGTTTGCAACATTGTGCCAAACAACCTTGCTGTGGAAACAGTTCAATCTGGGCCCGAGGTCTGCTTGTTCTTTTCCTCGCTAGTCTGAAATGGCAGAAATTGGCCACGCTGGAAAAAGAAGTGTTCTTATCAACAAGACAGCAAAATAATAATTATTTTTAAACATTGCAGAACAGTAAGTATGCTTTATTTAGCTTACTTGAACATGAAACAGCACAGTGTAACTTTAACAGTTTTAGCACTATGTGTGGGTATCTCTCCAGTACTTTTTAATGATTTCTCTTTGGATGGTTGTCTGCTGTATAGAACTGTCTTTCCTGCTGCTCCAGTTACACTAAACCTATAACGAGCAGCTTTATCTCTGCGTGCATGAACTCACTGGTGCATACAGGTGTGTTTTGACTTCCAAGTCCATCCAGATTAGAGCTCAGTCAAGAAAAGAATTCTGCAGCCCCCGATATTCTGTTGGTACCTCTGCTTATTTTCCGGCGTGGCCAATTTCTGCTGTTTCAGACTAGCGAGGAAATGAACAAGCGAACACCGTGCCCAGATTGAACTGTGCTGTAATCCTCGTGAAAGCTCGGCCAGCTCTCTGATTGCCTTCATTTTTCAGTGTCACGGGCAGGAAAGCCAAGGCGGTGTACCCCTGTGAGGCGGAGCACGACTCTGAGCTCTCCTTCCAGGTCGGCGCAATATTCAGCGCCGGTAAGTGTTATCTCCTTCACCAGTCGCTCACTCAGAACCTGCTCTGGAATATTGGATTTAAAGGGAGTAACGGAGGATTGGGGTGGGGGACTGAGCACCCAATCTGATCATGAGTTAAAGAGAGTGATGAAGAGAGGTGGAACGGTGGTTAGGAGACACAGATTTGCTCACTGGTATCTTCTCGAAAGAGGCTTGGTGGAGCTTTAATCAATCACTCCCAGAGGAAACAGGGTTCTGTTGATATGTCTTTATAATGAAACCCTTTTTTAAACATTTAACTTGCAGTTTATTAGCTCTCAAAAGTTGGGATCATCTCATTGTAGCATTTATTATTTTCATTGTTGGGTAAGAACAAATGTTAAAGGTAGCTGAGTTTGTGTACTTTTTGGTAATTTGAAAAATATTAAATGGATGATTATTCTATTTTCATTTTTTATTCCAAAAAGGGTAAAATGATCCAACTTCCTTTTTTTTTGTCAAACCAAAATTTATTGCTGTTGTAGGTTGCAGGTTTTCCTGATATTGTGCCACCCTAGCTTTAAAGGGGCAATATTATGTGTTTCTCAGGCATAAATTTAAATACTATACCATAATGAAGTATCTATGTCACCTTTAGCTGTTATTAAAATG